GAATACTTGCACATATACAGGCACAGGGAATACCTGCAGAGTATTCACAGGCTCACCTGGGCACCTTCCTTTCTGTGTAATTTTTGGGCACGAACCCTTCATGGCCGTGCAGCTCCGCCTTGTACCAGTGATCCTCACTGCTCAGGATCTGGGGGAAGCGGAGGGAGGTAGTGTAAAGGGAAGCGTGCATGTGTGCAGTGCTGAGACGGCATAGGCTTCCTCTGTCGCACCATACACGGTTTGGGGGGGGGGGGGGGCAGTAATTAGCACCATGGCGACTGGAGGGCCGTTTCGTTTCCCGCTCACCTTCAGAATGTCGCCCTTCCGGAAGCTGAGCTCATCCTCGGCAGTGGCGTTGAAGTCGTATTTCGCGATGGCCTCCATCATGGATGGGAGGGGGGGGCACGGGGAGATCGTAGGGAGGGAGAGCCACTTGTGTCTGTGGGACCGTGGTGTACAGCAGGAGAAGATCTGAGAGGTGATCTGGATAGTAAGTGGACTGGGGACTTTGTAAACACGAGGACTGTTTGGTTAACCGGTTACCGGTTACTAGTCAGCGGTTCTGGGCATGTAGCTATCAGATCCAGGCAACTTTCTGCAAGCAGAAGAGTCAGTGTATGCTTCATCCGCATCGGACCCCCCCCCACTCCCCCATCTGGCATGTTTAGGTCATGGAAAAAATAGGTGAACCAATAACCGTGGCAACAGGGGCTTTGTGTTTAGTGGCTGCCTCTGTTATTTAGTGCTGCCTCACCCAGGGTAATATTTCACAGGTTTTGTAGTTTTGCCCCTTTTAAAATTCGTGGTTTGATTTATAACCGGCACAGGTTTTCAAAAGAAATGCTCTTTTTGTTTACCGTGTTAAAAATTGTGTCTGAGGGTACATATAAGTGTATAAATGCACGATGGCGCTGGAGCAGTTTCGCAGTATGACCCATTTGTACCCACACCTCCACCACATTTTGCTTCTGGGTGGGTGTGGCCTCACCTGTTACAAAGCTGATGGCAGCAGCCCAACTGCAACAACGGGAGCCAGCATCCACCGTGGCCAGCCTATGGGAAGCAAATATGAAAGTTAGGGGGCGGGGCCTGCAGCATTGAGGGCATTTCCATTCAAATATCCCACGTTTCCAGCCTATAGCTGGGGTCCTGATCCTGTTGCCTCTATAACCAAGGAGCAAATGCTGCTATGGTGCGTGAGGGTCCCTTTCTGCTCTGTCTCACTCCTGATCACCCGCGTGACACTTCAGTGCTGCCCGAGGCAGAGTCTGCCCTGTGGGGCCTCTCTTCATCTGCGAGGAAATGTTTATGCATCTCTTTTTGGCAGAGGGAGACGTATCTGCTGATTTCTATCTCAAAATTTGGGGCGGCAAAGCAAGCTAATTGGGGGCACTTGCATAAGTGTGACAGTGATTCAGGTGCAATGACCGTCTGACAGGCATTAGACGTACAGGGGTCTGGCAGCCGGATCGGACCAGATATCTGCCTGTGTGTCTGTCTGAAATTCACGCGCAAAGACAAAACAAGGAGACGGCAACTTGTATAAACGTTTTGAGTATTCAGTCTACATCTGAGATGCTTTAAAGAATATGCCTGACAATCTCTGCTATAGATGTAAGAGAAATGCCGGTTTCCTGCATGCTCTGTGGGGTTTGGGGGTCAACACCAGGTGGCTGCAGTTAGTCTCCGTTAGGTAATGCGGGGCCTCACATGTCACAAACTTGCTCATTTGTATTGTGTTCCTGGCAGTGATCTCACGGCCAAAAACATCTGCAGTGTCGCATCGATAGCTGAGACTGGGCCGCGCTTCCTTCTCTCGGTTCCTCATGCGCATCATCGAAGCAGAACCCCGGCTCACAGCCCCCACCCCGCCCTGTGGCCGCCTCTGAGGTCACAACTAGACCACGGGGCTGTCTGCTTCATGTTAGGAGGTGTCCTTTTGGGAAAGGAACTCTCAGGATGCAGAGGTTCAGACTTAGAGGGCTGATTGTCTGCCCTACTGACCAGCGTGGAACCGATCAGGTCAATAAATTGATATTGTGTTTACATGCAGGTGGCTGGAAGGAGGCTCAGCAGGTAAGGCTACGGCGCCTGTGCTTGGATGGTCCCTCGTCCAAACCACAGCGAAGGCAGCACTGCACAAGCCCTTAACCGCCAATTGCTATGACCTTGTTTTTGCAAAAAGAAAAAAATGCTGCTTTGGGTGAAATAAAAAAAAAAATAATCATCAGCTACATGAATGTTATTAAGTGTCATTGATCAGTCAATTAATCCTGCTACTTTAAACTTTGGGGAGGAAGGTGCCCCCCCCCCCCATCCCCTCTGCAGTCACAGTATCGCTTATCTGGTTCCGGTCTTTTCCGTCTGGCTCCCGTTCCAGCCTGATAAAAACTGTTCCAATTACCTTAGCTGTAGAATCAGACGTTGCCTTCGACAGCATTCTCATCACCTCACATAAAAACCACCCATTCTCATCTTTCTTTATTTTCACCAAATACAGTCCACCGTCAAGTGACTGGCTTTGAGGTCTCAGAACTGATATACTACATGTATCTATTTTGTTGGATCTCTATTCAACGTCAGTTACCTTTGCAGGGGACAGAAATATAAAGGAGAGAGATGAAGAAAACTTCTCCCGGAGAGGCCTATCAGGACTGGCTGGCACGGAGCAGGCCTTCCTGCAGAGCGATCGATAGAGGATTTTCTATCGCGAGTGCTCGCTTATTTTCACAAAGACCAGGCTTATCTCTCTCAACCTGTGAACTGCTCCAAACGAGCTCAGCTACACTGCTGGTCGGCAAATCCTTCATAAAGTGAGAGGAGAGGACTTTTCCCTCAGGGAAGGTGATCCTGCACACATGTAACCAGAGAGATTTCTGAAGCTGGGAAGATGTTTTCTTTCCTGGATAATTGGAAATGGGAAGCAGAGGAGACAGATAAACGTCGGCAGGGATTGTACGTGGGTCGCCGTACTGTAAAGGTCACACTTTCAGGCTTATTTTGCAATAATGCCCGGTCACAGTTTAAATGACGTTGAAACGGAGTTTCCGAGAACCGGGTCTATGTCCGAGGCATTCAAGCAAATCATGTGACTCTTACAGAAAACAAACTGGCATGTAGCCAATAATGGTGTTTCATTAAGGACCCACATTGAAGTCAGTCCGGTAACGCTGGGATTTTAACTGGTGACCTTCTGATGACAGGCAGGGCGCTGCCCCCCAATTCACCCCAAAGCTGACGGTCTGAGTGACTCTGGCTTGGCAGCTCTGGGTTGGGAGAATCAGGGACGCTGCCTGGAACGATCTTAGCTGGGCTTGGAAATCGGCTTTCTGGTGGATTTGGGATTAGATATGGAAGCAGAAGTTATGCTGTAGTCAAGAAACTGAGGTGAGAGCCGGATAGTGGGCAGGGCTTTGAGGATGGACCTGTCATTAGCCTGTAGGGGGCAGTGGAGAACCCTACACAGCAGATATTTTACACAGAATGGCTTTACATACAGCACTGGGCTACATGGTTGCATATCATACAGCGAGTCCCGTTACGTACAGGGAGGAGTTCACATGACCCCTCAGTCTCAATCAGATCATGGCCACTTCCCTTCACAGAGGATTAACCTGCTGTTTATATAATACCGTTGTGGAGCAGCTAAGCGGCAGGAAGAGGGACAGGTGACGGGTGGCACCGTCTGTGGCCCAGAAGAGCAGCCTATCAGCGGGCAGCCAATCAGCGGGCAGCCAATCAGCGGGCAGCCAATCAGTGGGCAGCCAATCAGCGGGCAGCCTTCCTGGCCGTGCCGTCTCCTCCGTCCTCGGTGACCCAGCCGTCGTCCAAATTATAACCCGAGTTAAGGAGAGAGAGGCGTCCACAGCACACCGCAGAGAATTTTAGCCCCGCACGATGACGATGGAGAACGCGGGTTCGGTCTTAAGTAAATGATCATCTTTTCGCTTTACTGAGTAACGGGAAACCGCCAGACGGAGATCCGTTCACGATGGACGGGCTGCAGCAGGCGCTGCGATGTCGGCACGCCAGAGTTTAACGTTTTACTGCCGAGAATTTTACATAAAGGAATTATTATTCTAATAACTGTGAGAGAGGGAAGCCATCTACTCCAGGAAATACGGGGGAATAAAATGTGTGACGGCTCGCTGTTTAAATTTTGTGTCTAAATAGCTTGTGGGATTTTTAAGGAACAAAGGCTTGACTTAATGTGATCCAGAGAGCAGAAGAATCGATTAACCGGCGCTGCTCTCTGCTGCGCCCCTTAAACCGTGTCTAAGAGGACGAGCCCAACGCACCCGGACTGTAGGTCTATGTCCGCCACAGGCTGCCTTCCAAGCCTGCATTTCTGCATTTCTATCATTCGGCAGAAAATTTAATGCCACTTTCGCAATCCAGCATCTTTGGTATTCGCTCGTCGACGGCAGCTAATAAGCCCCCCCCGTCAGAGGGCGGCGTGGGGAGTCACTAGACGCAAGGAAACAAAGAAAAGGGGGAAGTTAAACAGATGACGAAATAAAAAAAATATGAGAAGGAGCCGTTTCAAAGCAGGTCAGTAGGATGCAGACTCGAGTGTGCAAAGTGGTCACCTCCATCAAACCCTGGACAAACTTTCACGCAGACTGCGTGACATTCCACTCTGGAGGAACACAGAGCACCTCCTTCATCATAATCTAATTACAGAAATGGGGATCATAAGAGGGCTGTCGGCCTGTGCACACAGTAACACACGCTGCCTGAAATAGAAGCGATAACATTGTCCTGATTACGACTGCTGCTGTTTGCTAAGGGTCTCGAAATCATCCTCATGTACAAGACATGCTAAAGTCTTAGCCAGGCAAAGGAAATCATGTTTAAATGATCTTCATGTTGCCGTAAAACCGTCATGCTCGATATCCTCTGTGTACCGAGGACTGATAAAGTCACCCCAGGATTCACAGCAACCATCTATGTATTTTTTTGACTTGACCACTAGCACACCTAGTAAGGCTAATCAATACCTCATTTAACTTTTAAACTAATTAATTTTATTAATTATGTGAGCTGGTGGTGATATTTAATGAATACATGTAATGGCTGAGTTGGCGCTGAGGAGAGCTTTGGGGACTGAAGCGTGTTCATCTAGCCGTCTAACAAGACGACGGTAACTTTTTGGAGAACTGAAAAAATTCTTGTTAGTTTGTATTGTGTTACTCTTAATCTGCATATGTTCTAATGTTAAATAGTTTTTTTTCCCCCCAGCAAATACACATTTACTACCCTGATATATAGCTTTAAATATTTTCTTTGACCGCCTAAGAATTTTGCAATATTATTTACTGTATTATATGGTTTTTGAGCATTTTAATTTGAATAAATTAACACATAATAAAACTGAGTTTAGATTAACTGCCTGAGTTTAATTCTCAGCAGATTAATTTCAGATCTGCCACCAGACCTGTTGCAGAGTGTACAGTTACAGACATAACAGTCTGTTACTAATATGCAAGACATCCTTTTTTGAGTCAACATTTAAAGAAAGCATCTGTGTTTTTTTAACAATGTAGACGAAGCTAAACTTGCATACTATCTCCATTAGTAGTAAACAAGTCATGCGCCTCGATCAAAGGTTGTAAAAAAGCTCAGCCTGATGTGTAGAGCGATACATTAAATGCTGATCCTTTTGCCCTTGTCTTCTCACTGGTATCTTCACTGGGCAAATTGCAGTGAAGCTTGACTTGCTTTCTGTTCTTTACTGCTCAGCGATGCGCTGCTGGCAGCCATGGGTGACCGTGTGAGGGGCTGGGGATCGGCGGACGGTCCCTGGATGGTAGGGTTTGGGCTCGCCGCCTCCGGGGGGGAGGGAGAAGGGAGCTGGGCGCTTGGCTGAGAGGCAGCAAGCGGGAAGTGAAGCTGCAGCTACATCCAGTGAATGTGAAAGACGGCGTGACCACATGTGCCCTCTACCTCCACTGGGGGTTGGGTGGGGTGTGTGAGCCAGACGACGGCCTGTCGGCTTAATAGAGTGTCCTCGTACCACTGGGCCGGTTCTGGACCAGCAAACTCAGGACTCACTTCTACATATAAGATATTGGGGGTAGGGGGGCAGTGACCCACTCTGAGCACTGCACAACTCATGGGGATATGATGAAGTGATAAATGCTTTATTTGGTTATATGGTTTAAGGGCCTTGTTCAAGAGCCCACAGACTGTTCTACTGAGGTTGGAACCAGTGACCTTCTGAGCACACGCCCTTAGCCCCCTCAGCCACCCACCGCCCATAAAATAAAAACCCCCAATGCGGCAGAAATGGCTTACGGCTCCGAACTCTAGCAGCCTCATTAGTTCACCTGCCATAAAACACTAAGCCCAAAACCGGCAGCGGCATTCCATACTGCTCATATTTAGTATGCCCTGTTACGTCCATCACGTCTCCCTGGTTCAGGGTTCGAATCCCCCCCCCCCCGCTGCCCTGCCTCAGGCCTTGTATTTCCCAGGAGACTCCAGGCTCAGTGGGAGCCCCCCCCCCGCATAAGCGCTTATGAAAGATGGATGGATTTTTTTTTTTGCCTGTCAAAAAGCGACACTGACCGTTTGAAGAGGGTAAGGGGTCTTATTAACATCGAGCCCGAATCCTGCGGGACATGAAGGGCCTGTATTGCCAAGCGGCTGGTACCAGCTCCCTTTGCTCATGAACATACTCATTAGGTCTGCAACGCTAACAGGCACCGCCTGACCTCTGTTCCACTAATTTGCATTTTATGCTTTAGTTATAGCGGAGATATTTAAAAAAATGTTTTACATGCAGGGTTATATGTAAAGACTACCGCACTTCTGATGTTTAAAATCATGGTCATGGCATCTCGCAATGAGCCACAGCCCAACGTTATTCCGAATATCGGGGGAGGTATCCTACTTCTAATTCTTTTTGCTGCTTTTAATTTATTTCCCCCATCGTAACACTGATTTGATCACAAACGTATAACTTAATTGTTGCTTTATTTGATCCCTGCGGCATTTACAGGTTTTGCGGTGGCGCACCCTGGGGTGCTCAGGTGAGTGCCCCAGACCCTCGTGGCCCGGGCAGTGGCGCCCCCCCTTCGGATTTAATCAGACAGGGATCGCGGCCGTGAAGCACCCAAGTGTGATAACCCGCTACAGCTCACCCAAAATGCATTAATTAGAAGCACGGGAATACCGTACTGAATCCGGCGTGTTACATATCACGGAAGGTCTATGGGAGGCAATAGTAATAAAAGCGACAAAAAAAAAAAAAAACTCGTTTGACACCTTCTCAGTTACATTTAAGCCTCCAGAATGGAACAGCGTTAAAATAATAACACAGGGGCACAATCAATACTGAGCGACGGCTAAAGTACTCACTTATATGCGCCACAAAAAGTGCGATCCCACTGTCGGTAGTTTGAATGAAACTCTCTTTTCACATACGCTGGTGTCAGAGGTCCCACGGCGCAGTAAAAGCGTGTAAATATATCCACGTTGACAAATAATACCACAAATGTACAATGAAATAAACAGAAACTATGTATCACGGACACATACAGCCGCTGTATTGCGTCTTTGTAGCGAAGGAGAAAAGTTGAGCAACTATGTGCATATAACCCACCTTATTTGGTTAAGTCGCTACACCCCCTGCCACCGCAATACGCAAGAGTATGCTTAATAAAAATAAAGAACGCCCCCATGCAACACACAGGAAAAGAAAGCCCCATAAAATCCGCTTTAACAAGCGACTTCAAAAGGCAACAGAGCCAAATGACTTATATGATAATTTGCAGTACCTCCAAACATCATACAGCCGTCTTTAAGAGGGATGTTGTAAATTAAGTCCTAATGGTAATGACCGATTGACTGACATCTGGTGTAATCGCATACAATGATTTTTTTCCCCCCGAGAACCATAACCTGTCCTTTCCTCTCCAAAACAGAGCAAGTTTGTCTGAGAAAATAGTCTGTATTGAGTATTCTGTGGTTATAGAGAGAGAGGATGTAGAAATTAAACTGCAGGTGGTCTGTGTGGTGTGGAAGGGGAGGCAGAGGCCAAGTTACAGGAAGTTAGATGCACCAGAGCAACATGGTGGATGGTGGAAGTTTGTGGGTTTCTCTCTCTCTCTCTACTCAGATCCATCCTCATCCTGGAGTAATTTTATTCTCTCACACCCACAGAATGTATTCTACATGTTTCTTTTTTGCCAACATGTTTATTAGACAGATGATGATCAACAGCGAAGAGTCCGCCCAATGTGGCATACACACCAGGTGTAACCCACTTGAGTCCATGGCTGGGTTTCTGTTACCCCTTTTCCACTGCAAAGGTGCCGGTGCCGATCCCCAATTTGGAACCAGTACCACATTTTTTTCCACAGAAAAAAAAAATGGCGCCAGTGCTGCAAAATGGACTCCAAACCGGCACCAAACCTTTGCTGGCCTGGATGAAGCACCCGTGTCGTCATGAGAGGTGGGCGGAGTAACCGAGGCAACGCAAAATAAAGATAATGTCGGAAAGTGGGCGTGGTTTGTGATGTGGACGCAGTGTTGTCACCCGGTTCCCACTGGGCTCTCAAGTCCGTGGAAATGCAGGCCGGCTCTTGCTGGTTCCCAACTTCAGCACCAGCTGAGCACCAGCCCCAGTGCCAGCACTGGCACCAGTGGAGTGGAAAAGGGGCCTGTGGGTCCTTGGGTCCTTGGCTACACTTTCTGTCAATACCCAGGACTGTCCGCTCAGAATGCCTGCTCCGATGCTTTTACACTTACAGAGTAGTTAGCATTAGCAATGATGCAGTGTGTGCAGTGCAGACTGCAGTACCCCCCTGCTGGACCTAGGCGGAGGGTAATTCTGTGATTGCCCTGCACCCAGCTGTAGTTGCAGTAGCAGCAAGTTTTGCCTGAATCTGCAGAACTCAAGCTGCCAGCTGCCTGCAATTTATGACAATTTTTTTCACGCTCTGCACAGATTACAAGCAGCAGTTTGTCAGTCTCGTCGTTGCATGTTGTTGCATGTAGCTGCAGGATTTCTGTTGGCTGCGTTGCTTAAGAAATGAAAGATTGTGATTCCTGGAAATTAAATGGAAACATTTCTGCACTATTATCACCTTCAGTGTTTGGTGTGTAGCTGTGGTTTTGCGTTCAGCTGTCCCTGCTTCGCCCCCATCGTCACACGGGATTGAACTAGAGAGGCCGTATTGTCATTGCCCATTTACATTCTCCTTTAGCCTGGGGATGAAGGTCCATAAATGTGTTCAGAAGGCTACTCACTTTGAGGTTTCTGCTTGTTAAGAGCTTCAAACCCACATTTGCTTTTATCAGGTACCAGGAGGGCTATAAACAGCAGGTGGTGGGGGGGGGGGGGGCGTATTTCAGAAGGCCCCCGAGTGACAGAGACCCTACAAAATTTGTAATATAATTGCATTGGTCTATGATGGCAGGTAGATACATGGTGAGAGATCCCAGATGCCCTAGAGTGTTAGTCTTTCAGCAATTCTGTAGCACATGTATGAAACTTTTAGTACTTGTTTAATTTTCACTAGTAAAGAGATATTGAATAATAGAGTTTTGTAAATTATTATCACGTACACACATGTGAGGAACCTGGGTTAGGTTAAAGAGCGGTTAGGGAACCTGAGGATAAATCTGAAAGTGTAACTAAACAATGTGAAAAATTAACGCTGTAACGCGCAAACCAGTCATGCTGACAGAGGGCATGTGTTTTGCTCTGGAAGAATCAGAGATACATCGCTTTTTTGAATCCTGACAAAGAGACAGATTTTTTTTTCCAGGAAATAATTTGTGAACCAATTTTATTGTCTCATATGATCAAGAAAGAAAAGATTTAATTTCAAATATATATTTTTCAAGATGTATTTTGTTAACGCAATTTAAATGTACTGTATGACTTACACAACCATGACCCTCTGAACTTTTATCTGCTATAGTCTCGTGTTTTGCGTTAAATTCATTGAGATTATCGTAATGTGGCTGGAATGAAGGTCAAACAAATGAAGATCATTCAGTAGTCATGTCCCTCGCAGAAGACCTCTGCAGTATTTATGCAGAGTTGCTATGGCTTCCCACCAGGTACAGCAATGCTCTGTGGTGCACTGAAGATCATGAAGGAGCGCTTTCAACCACACGGCCATTTCCTTGCATGTAGCAGCTCCGACCCAAACCGAACTGCGGCAAGCGGCGGAATCTGGCTATAAAGGAGTCTGTCTTTATGTGAAAATGGCATTTTCAATGTCATTTTCTCTTGCAGCATAGCTGAAGCGTCATAAATGTGGACTGTTTGCCCTCACTTATTTTACACCCTGAACACCATGCTATATTAGTCTTCCCTCATTTACACCCTGAACACCATGCTATATTAGTCTTCCCTCATTTACACCCTGAACACTACATCCTGTTAGTCCTCCCTCATTTTACACCCTGAACACCAGGCTTTATTAGTCTTCCCTTATTTTATACCCTGAACGCTACATCCTAATAGTCCTCCCTCATTTTTCACTCTGAACATCATGCTTTGTTGGTCTTCCGTTGTTTTACACCCTGAACACTACATCTTATTAATCCTCCCTTACTTTACACTCTGAATATCAGTCTATGTTACTCTTCCTTCATTTTACATGCTGAACATTATATACTCTTAATCCTCCCTCATTTTTCTCTCTGAACACCACGTCTCTCATTTTAAACCTTGAACACTGCGGCCTGTTAGTCCTTTCTTATTTTAAACAGCAGGCTTTATTAGTTTTCCCACTTTTTACACCCTGGGAACTATGTCCTGTTAGTAGTCCCTCATTTCCCTCCCTGAACACCAGGCTGTGTTAGTCTTCCCTCATTTTATACCCTGAACACTTTGTCCTATTAGTCCTCCCTCATTTCCCTCCCTGAACATGATGATCTGTTAGTTCTCCCTCATTCTGTATTCTGAAAATCATGGCCTGTGAGTTATTCCTCATTTTACATTCATATGATGAGGGAAAAGAAGAGTCGTTTCTGCAGGTGTTCCGCTTTAATCATTGCTGAGATCTACAGTATCCTGTAAGCATTGCTCACTGTTAACAGAAGCTCCACCTTCAGCTTTAACCACAGCTTCCGCGACCTTTTAGATCAGCTAGATTTCTGAGAAAAGCAGCTTAAATTTTTGACTGATTAGATAATGATATAAACTCACGATTTATCAAAACCATTGCTTTTGGTAAATATTTTGCCTGTGAATGTTCATTTTGTTTAATATTATCACTTAATTTTCACTTCAGATAATCAGGGTATAGTATTTTAATTAGTGTCCTATTAAAGTCACAGTCACATTTTAAAGGGACTTCGGGTTTGATTTGATACAGCTCCTCTGCTTCTGGACATTCTTGCTGTAACACCGGCTCTGTCGTACATCAAACCCAACATGAGGATTCAGAAGCCGTTCATTCTTACGCTAAATGATCTACGAATAATATGGGGGTAGGTGCTCTCTGGAATGCTGACTATGAATAACCTCAGGAAAATACCTACAGTACCTGTATGAGGGGGTGTTTTTGGGCAAAAGCCAAAAACACACACAAATACAGTATGGTATTTAATATCAATAATATCTATTGCTTGGTTGCAAGTTTTTACTATAATAGTCACTTGGGTTGCAAGGTCTTTCAGACCTACTCTGTGCTGGAGGGGAATTTCATTTGGCTAATTTAACAGCCTTTGATGTAGCTTGTGGGTCATTAAGGCCCTTAATGATCTCCGTGAAGTTATGAGATGGGAGACAAGTGTGTGTAAGTCTGCCACCAACTGCCGTCTTCCATTATCAAAACCGAAGTAGTTCAGTAAAGGCGTGAAGAGTCGCTTTTGTGATGATAGGAGTTAATGAGTCAAAGGAGCACTGAGTGATCAGAGAGAAGAGAAGAATCTGTGGCCGGCGTGTCCCATTCTGCTCCCCTTTTCCTCTGGCTATGTCTCAAGGTGGTTTTTCTTCCTGGTTCACATCATTTTATCTCACTTTCACTTAGTGTCATGGGTGTCACCATTTTGAAGGGTGATATGTGACTGTGCTAAAACAAAATGTTAGAAAAGTCCCTGGAAGGTGGGAGCACATTTCACCTGAACCTTGTCCTCTGCTATTCCGTCACCGCAGGGCGGGGCTGGGGCACCCAAGCGCCCAGTAGTGTGAAGCACCCCCTTGCTGAGGGGCCATACCAGTGCCCCTCTCGTGATAGCCCACCCCCTGCCAGTCGCGCTCTGCCAGCCAAATCTGTCCTCGACATCAGAAGATTTTGGGGGATCCTACACAGGCGTTAGCGCCGTCATCATCCAGGCTCCTTAGTTACCTCAAGATCTGCTCCCTGCCTCCTCAAACAAGCGCCAACCAGCAAGGTATCGCTGTGAGCGCCAACCAATCAGCAAGGCAGTGCTGTGAGCGCCAACCAATCAGCAAGGCAGTGCTGTGAGCGCCAACCAATCAGCAAGGCAGTGCTGCGAGCACCTCCCCAGTCGTGTTCGAAGAAAAGTAGTACTACTAAAAAGGGATCTGGAACTGCCTCCGAGGAACTACAATTAGACCCATTTCCTGTAGTGGGAAACCGGCAGAAGTTCTTGGTTCTGAAAAAAACTCCTCAGTGGGAAAGCACTTCATGATCACGTGGCAAGTCTGAGCGTTTAGTCTGAGTGTTTTCCCCCAGAGTGATGGTCACAGGCATAGCCGTCTAGCCGAGAAACCCAGGAGGACGCAGGAAGTAGGGTGATTGCTTTATGCTGGTAATGTGCACCCAGATCTCAGCAAGAGCGTCAGCCCCAGGCCTTATTGAGAAACAAGGCTCAATGCTAACATTCTCCACAGGACGTTTCTCGTAAATAATGAATGGCGTGCGGCCTCTGGGGTCGCGATGCACGTGCAGATTGTGTGGAGGTGTGCCTCATGGCTGACCATGGCTCTGCCGGACTTCACTCTTCAGGTGACG